CCCCCCCCCCCCCGATGTGCGACTCAGGGCGGTTTCCAACATGTATGGCAAACATTCAATACCAAAAGGGAAAAATATTCAAAAAATTACATCAACAGCCTGTCTGGATCAGAAAGACAATTTCAACTATTCATTTCCTCTATTTAAAAGAAGAGGAAAGGGAGTGACATAAGAAGACCTGCGTGTATACTCCAAACACTAATACCTTTTGAAATGTCCTCTTCAGCTTGCTCATATTGCTGTAAGGTTTTGTGGAGATTTGCCTTGTTAAAATATATTGCTGCACAAAAAGGGGAGAGGCAAATTGCATTCTCAAAATCTGCTTTTGCTTGTTCAAATTTCCTTAGCAGAGTATTAGTAATAGCACGATTGAGGAATGCAGATTCGTTTTTAGGATCAAGTGTCAGTGCCTTGGAATAGTAGTTATTTGCCTATAAAATAACAAAATGCATATTTATTTAGGTTTTCTGAAATTGAGAAATACAATGTAAGATTATACTGTTTTATATTTATTTTTAAAAGTAATAACAGCACAAGAAGAAAAATAGTTCAGCAGGAAAAGTGGTTCTCCTCAACTCAAGATGTTTCTGTGTTTTGTTGTGTTGGTTTTCCCCAAGGTCTAATTAGTCATACATTTAACATTTCCAGTGCAATTACTGAAGAAGCATTAGGTGCAAATTGCATCATCAGCAGTGATGGATAGGTGATGATACTGTTGTTATCCATTCATCTCACCATTACAGCTTGAACAGCATCAATTTTCTCCATTCCACTGCCATTACTTATGAACATAAAAACAGTGGTGCTTTGACAAATGTTTTCCATCTCAGTTGTGTACTTTTAGGAATTCCAAAAGAGTTGGCTTATCAATTGCTTTTGAAAGTTTTACTAAACAATGTTGGGCAAAAAGGTCACATTGCACATAAGCACTATGATTTACTTGGTTACACACTTAGTGAATAATTCAGAGATTAATTTTAATTAACACTATTGTTGAAGGCTTTCATGGATGGAATCACTGGGGTGTTGTGTTGTGTTTTCTCTCCTGTCCTCTACCAGATTGGACCATGAGTAACCTATTCTTGAGGTTTTTCCTCCCAAAAATCTCAAATGCTTAATAGTATGACATAAGTTTGCTTAACTGAAATAGTTTCACCGAAAGAAAAATGTTCCAGAAAATTTTGGAGCATAGATTCTCATACTGACCTGTACAAACTGCCTGTTAAGAAAGTAGATATTTGCTGCATTGAAATATGCCAAGGCATAGTTGGGGTCAACAGTGATAGCCTGCTGATAGTCTGTCATGGCACAATTTAAATATCCCATAAATTGGTTAATGACACCTCGGTTTGTAAGCAATTCTGCACTGGTAATGATCTGAAATGTGTGTCAAAGATATACGTTTGTAAGAGTACATTCACAAAGGAAATATTCAATAGAAAAAGAAAATATAGCATAATCTGAACAGTTAACTTTGAATACTATGTTCTTTCTGCTTAATTGTTTCTACTCTCCCTCCCTTTTTTCTATGAATTGGAATGACTTTTCAAAGTAAATGAATAAATATAATATTTTAAAGTGTTAGCAGTATGAAATTTATTTTTGGAATTCACTAATAATGCGCCTTCACCTGTTTTAATCTAAATTCATATTGGTCTTGAATGCGATATAGTTCCCCCTCTCTCAAGTCACTTTCCTGAAAATGGGCTTCTCTGGCATGTTCACTGAATGCAATTACTTTAGTAACACAATCATAGTGGCTCCAATTTCTTTCCTTACCGGCACGCATGTGAATGTATGTATTGCCATAAAACAGTGTAGTACCAACATATGTAACAAATGTAGAAATTTGGGAAACTATGGGCAAATGGGTTGTCGAAGGCTTTCATGGCCAGAATCACTGGGTTGCTATGAGTTTTCCGGGCTGTATGCCATGTTCCAGAAGCATTCTCTCCTTACATTTCACCCACAACTATGGCAGGCATCCTCAGAGGTTGTGAGGTCTGTTGGAAACTAGGCAAGTAAGGTTTATATATCTGTGAAATGTCCAGGATGGGAGATAGAATTCTTGTCTGCTTGAGGCAAGTGTGAATGTTGCAATTGGCCACCTTGATTAGCATTTAATGGCCTTGAAGCTTCAAAGCCTGACCTCAAGCAGACAAGAGTTCTTTCTCCCACCCTGGACATCCCACAGACATAATAACCTCACTTGCCTAGTTTCCAACAGACCTCACCTCTGAAGATGCCTGCCATAGATGTGGGCAAAATATCAGGAGAGAATGCTTCAGGAGCATGGTCAAAGCCCGAAAAACTCACAGCAACCCTATGGGAAGATGGTTGAAAAGAACAGTACAAATTATAAGCAAGAAAGGATATACTTTAAACATGATTAGTAAGAGAACACATGTTTACCTTCAATGCAGCATTTGTATCCTGAAAAGCAGCAAAGGTATCGCTCATCTGAAGACAGACTATAGCTCTCCCATCGTAAGCAATGTGACATTTTGGATCAATAAGAATGGCTGCTGTAAACTGGGCCCAAGCTTTTTGAAACTTTCCAAGAGCCTAAAATAATTTAACATAAAAATTAACAAAATGGTAAGTAATAATAGGTTGCCTCATCTCCTTAAAGGGAGCTGCATAATGTTAACTACTGTACCTGCAATAAAGGCAGTGTGGAAATCAGTATGCAAAGGCATCTTATAGCAGCTTTGTTCCTGAGGGAAAGATGTTGGTGACATAAGTTTTTGTAGACTTAAGTCTACAGCAACTTCTTTCTCTCAGTATCAGAAGTGCTACAATATCAGTCTGCATAGTGCGTACTGTTTCAGAAACATAGCTATGTCTTTTAATTCAGCTGGTTTACAAATCATTCTTACTTAATAAAGTACATAAAATGTGGTAGTGCAACATTTTTCCTAATTTTTTCAACAGATTACAAAGTACATGGCAAATCTATTATAAATGGGCACTCTAAACCATAACCTTGAAGTCCTCAATATACATATAATATCTGCCTACATCTGAGATTCTGAGTATAACTAGGCAAATACAGCAATTTTAGGAACTAAACTCATTGTAGGAATTAAACACCAGTAAAGGCATACCAACAAAATTATTTTCCCATGGTAAGAGGTGCCATTTTTTAAAACAGGATTCTTCAGAAGGCAATATAAGGCAAGTGATAACCAGTAAAGGAAACCATGAGAATGAGGTAATGTTGGAAAATTCTGATTTTAGCTTTCATGATACGTGTTTTCCCCCTTCATTGCTGGAAAATTAACCCCCGCAAGGGCACACAACTAGAATTTTTTTCCATTGTGAATGGAAGTACTGTATTTAAATAAAAAATATTGAAAAGGCAATATGAGGCCAATAGCAATCAGTCAAAGAAATCAAGAAGATTAGCTGAAGTTGCAGGATTCCAATTTAAGTTTTTATGGTACATAGCTTTGTTATAATGAGATTTTAATTAAAGGAAAGAGATTTTACAGTTGTATTGAGATAACCTAATCTTATTCAGAAAAAACAGAAGCAGGTCAAGAAGCAACTCATCATTTATTATACAGTGGATAAAATGGAAACTCACAAAAGGTTACTTTTGTAAGTTTCCATTTTCATCAGGAAAGGTGACAAGCCTGTTCTTCCTGTTGTTTTAATATTTGCTCATAGGAATGGGTCTCATCAACTTTATTGGGGGTTGATAGTCTTATGACTACTGACAGCAATAGATAGGCCTCAGTCATTTCTCTCCATGACATCACCTTCTTGAGTATTTCATAGTCATATGACACATGGGGAATAATCCAAGAATATATGGACTGCACTACCCAGGCATGTAGCCTGGGGGGAGGGGGGGCTTGAGGGCTTCAGCCCCCCCCCCCCCAAAATTCTCATGGTGGTTCGCGAAAAGGCCTTACTGGTGTATTATTTAAACTGTTATGTTTATTCATATCATGATCTGATCACCATACTCAATATATCAATGGGGGTATTGGGGTAACGATACAAAAGGTTTGCTAGGGAAGACCCTCTTTCACTCAGACTCAGCCCCCTCCCGAAACAAACTCAGCCCCCCCCCCCCAAATCGAAATCCTGGCTATGGGCCTGGCACTACCTATAATTCATCCTGAGAATTATTCCAATCTATAAATAGCTTATTCAAGAATTCTACAAGACATCAGAATTGAAATACCAGTTTTCATTGTCTTCGATCCAAAGATTTTAGAAATAGCTCTTTTTGTATGTAAAAGGTTTTTAATCCAATGGAGATTTCTGCTGACAAAAGTGTGCAGCACTTCCAACAGTAGGCAAGATTTTCCTGATTCGCCTTACCCTCTGCAACCTCCACATCATTTCTCAAACTGTTTTAACACAGATTTTAGGAGACTACACAGGAAAGAAGAACTGGAGAAAATTGCTCCACTCATCTGACAGAAAAAGACATAAGCAAATTTCTGCCAATAAATCCCTAAACATCCAAATTCATATAAAAAACTGTTTTTTAGCTTTTGGAAATTTTTAAAATTATTTTTTTTTCATTTTTCACAGTGGTATTTGTTTATTTTTTTCTTTGAATGAATAATTTGTTTCCCACATGTCTCTTTTTGCCTTTCTTCCTTTTTCTCTTAAATTGCTTTGCTGCACTATCAGGTAAAACAAAAAACAGGAGATGAAGCTAACAAGCTGTTAAGGAATATTATAAGAGTATTATTATTTTATACTGAAGATAAATCTTTCCATCTCCATTTTGCCTACAAAAGGTATAAGGAAATAATATGCCTTCTATAACTGAATTCTAAAGATTTCATGTCCAAGCAAAACATCTAAATCTTTAGTCCTTCTCAAATAATGTAAGTGACCTAATCCTTCAAATAACAAACAGATCAATTTCAGATTGGCTTCCTGTTTTTAGCAGGATAGGTGGCAGAGTCATAAACACATTACCTGCAAATTATATCCCAAACAAAGTCGGGCCTTCACAGAAATTGGATTCATGTGTATTGCTATCAAGAAGTCCTTCTGGGCTTGCTGAGTGCCTTCTATGTGACCATATTCCATATATGAATTTCCTCGTCCAATGTAGCCATCCAGAGAAAAAGGATCTATTTTAATAACCTCAGAAAATGACTGCACGGCTTCCTCATATTTCTGAAGTCTAAAATCAATATACATGCATTTTATAAGAAGAAAACAAACAGTGGTTTAAAAAACCCCGATGACTTAAATATGGTTACAGCCAGGACCAAAAAGGATCCTGAGAGGAGAAACCAGCAAAGTTTTTGGAGTCTGGTGACCCAAAAGGGGACTGGGACTCCTTCGTTTGCTTGTTTATTTTTATCCCACTTTTCTCCCACATGTGGGACTCAAAGCAGCGAATAATGGTAAAACAAAAACAGGAAAAAAAGAACATCCCCCTAACCCAAATATATAAACAATAAACCAACACATTGCATAATAGTAAAGGTTTCCCCTGACATTAAGTCTAGTTGTGTCCGAATCTGGGGGTGGTGCTGACTCCTCCAAAGGCAAGTAGTCTGCATGACTGCGTGGAGCACCATTACCTTCCCACTTACACTTAGAAGAAGAAGAAGAACTTTATTTTTCTACCCTACCTCCATCTCCCCGAAGGGACTCAGGGCGGCTTACATGGGCACAGGCACAGGCAGAATACAATTAAAATAAAGCAATAAGAATTAAAACACCATAAAACAGCATAAAACAACATAACAAAAATAGCTAGCAACAACAATAACAGCATGTGGTGCCTCAAGCCGGGTTTGTCATATGTATGGCTCATAAGGAATAGGAAATCTCTTATTCTTATTTCAAGACTGGGTATGCAATGCAGGAAAGTGACAAACTCGGCTTGAGACACCACCATGAAGGTAAAAACAGACATTTGTGTTTGCTACAAAAAGACTTCTAAAACTGTTCACTCAAGCATGGATGGAACATGCCAATTTCACTTGGAATCCAGTTCAAAAAGAAAAAAATGTATTTGGTTGTTACTACTTTCTTGTTCAGCTCATTCTGCTTCAACTTTGTAAAACCTCACAGTTAACTTAATTGTAAACTGTAACATAAAAACATTCCAAAATCTTATTAATCAGCATTACCTGTGGTAGCACTGCCCAATAGCTTTTAATAGTTGACTGTCTTTTGGTTTACTCAGCATTGCCTCTGTAATATCCTAAAAATAGAATAAAATATTTCTGATACATACAACTGATTATATTGCCACTATTCAGTAGATGCTGCGACACTAGTACATTTGTTTATATTATTTGCCAACAGGTTCTGTGAGTGTTTTGAATGTTGATTAATAGTGTTTTCACCATAATTGTAGAGCTTGCAGTGTTGCAGAAGGACTGGAGCAGTGTTTTCCGAGTAGTTCAGTGATAGCTATATAGTTCCTAAAGACTCACTACAGTTTTTAGATGTCCCCCACCATAGTGTGGCTTCCTTGTATATGTATGGATTCTTTCAAAACATTTATTGCAAATTACAGTAATCTAGATTGAAAATTATGCTAAATTAATTTTGCCAAGTAAGTGCTATCATAGAAAAGTCATAGGCTGCAGATCAAATGAGAAGGGCCAAAAGCTTATAAAGAACCAAGCTCTCTTGAGTCCAAATCTCAAAGATTAATTTAAGTGTATTATCAAGCTCTGCACCTGTTCAGTGAAAGCTCATTCAGAGCTTGGTGTTTATCCATCTCCTTGACCTGAGAACTACCAATTCACATAACCTCCATTTTGTCAGTTTCTGTTGACTGAGAACCCTCTTTTATGTTGTTAAATTTTGTACATAATCAGAAATAGTTATTTACAATCATTCCTATATCTATATAAATAAAAATGTAATGTTTGTTGAGGTATTAACATAACTCACAAACCACTGGATGATTTGACACCAAATTTGGACACAATACACCTATCAGGCCAAAAAGTGACCATCACTCATAAAAACACTGAAAAACATAGCAGAAGAGACTTAAAAAGCAAAAAACAAAACAAAACCCAAGGAATAAATTACAACACATGTGCAAAACTATATATATACACAAATATATACACACCCACAAAACACATATACACAGACTGGACCATAGCAACGCGTGGCAGGGGACAGCTAGTACAGGATATTCTGTGTTCTATATTTTTCAGTTATTATGCCCAGCAATTTCTCGTCAAGAAAAATACCTAACCTCTAGTGCATCCATATATTGTTCCAATTCTATATAGACGAGTCCACGGTTGATCAGGACTTTCAAGACAATGTCCTTGTTTGCCTCAAGGAGAAGAACAACCCCATAATCTTTTAACGCCTACAAGAATGAAAGTCACATTGTAAGTGCAGAAAAATCTGTATCATGAAATGCATTTGCTGGAATAAGGAATTCCCTCTTGTATGAAGATATTCTGGTTGAGCAATAATAGGAGAGAATGCTTTTGAACATGGCCATACAGCTCGGAAAGCTCACAGCAACCCAGTGATTCCAGCCATAAAAGCCTTTGACAACACATTATTCCAGTCTAATTATACAATTTCCTTTTCAAATGAATAGGACCTCTGAGAATTTGGTGTCTACTATATGTTTATTAGTGATTAAAACAGAGGCTGAAAATAACTTTTCCAAGTTTCAACAAAAGTAATAAAATAGTCTGTATAAGAGCATTCATTTTAGTACATTTATTTATTTATTTATTTAGTACATGTCTATACCGCCCCTCTCAGCCTTACGGCGACTCGAGGCGGTTTACAAGGCAAGGATTCAATGCCACCAAGGACACAATTACAATATACAATATTAAAAACATCAGCAACAATAAAATCAAACATTATAATGAAACATACTTCAATTGATAATCATTAAAAGAATGTCCAGCTCCAGTTATTCCATTATTATAGTCGTTACTCTGTATTTTCAAATGCCCACTCAAATAGCCATGTCTTCTGGATGGGAGCGAGGAAGCTGATCTAATCTCCCTAGGAAGAGTGTTCCATAGCCGTGGGGCCGCCACTGAGAAGGCCCTGTCTCTCGTTCCCACCAACCGTACTTGTGATGATGGCGGGACCGAGAGCAGGGCCTCTCCAGATGATCCTAAAGTCCTTGCAGGTTCATAAGGGGAGATTTGTTCGGACAGGTAAGTTGGGCCAGAACCATTTAGGGCTTTATATACGTGTATGTTGCAATTGGCCACCATGACTAGCACTGAACGGCATTGAAGCTTCAAAACCTGGCTGCTTCCTGTCTGGGGGAATCCTTAGCATTGAATGGCCTTGCAGCCTCAAAGCCTGGCTGCTTCTTGACTGGGGGGGATCCTTAGAATTGAATGGCCTCAAAGCTTCAAAGCCTGTTTGCTTCCTGCCTGGGATAACTATAAAGACTGGTGCTCAAATGTTCTGTTCTCTAACAAAAATTGCGACTTATACCCCATATAATTGTGGGGGGGAATCCTAATTTAATTTACAGGCAGTCAGCAAGTTACAAACATTCAACTTACAAATGATTCATAATTATGAACGGGGACAAGGTAACACCTCCAGGAAAGGAAATTCACTCCTGGAAGAGTTATCATGGGGAAAAGGTGTCCTCACTGAAGCTTTATTACCAATCCTTGTTTCCACAACAAGCCAATATTTTTGAAATCCAAGTACCACAGGGACAGAAAGTGAAATCTTCTGAACAGAGGAACAGAAAGCAAAACAAACATCACAGGGTTGTTAACTCTTCTCTATGCTATATATTACTTATATATCTATTTGGCTGGAGTTACACTTTAAAATGTGCCTGTTCCGACAAACAAATTCAATTTATTTATTTATTTATTTATTTACTATATTTGTATGCTGCCCTTCTCAGCCCTTAAGAACAAACCTATAGAACCTATCTTGTTTGTAACTTGAGGACTTTCTGTACAGTACAATGACAGACTAGGACAAACAAATTAATAAAAGTATGAATACAAAGTTAAATCTGAAAGTGAAATATGCTTATTCAGAAATTCGATCAAAAAGTGAAATCAATATCATAGAACTGCTCACTTGAAAAGCTATACTTACATTTTTGTAGTCCTTCAGTAAGTGATAGGAAATTGCCCTGTTGTAATATGCCAGCACGCATGTATTATCAAATTCTATAGATTTAGTTAAATCTTGAACAGCATGTTTGTAAGTCTTCAGGAAAAAATGTTGCAGCATCAGTCATATTAAGTGGAACACAGAAATCATGAAAACTGCATGCCATAGTCCTATTTTTGCAGATTTTTTGCTGGAATAAGCAGCAACTTTTCTTAATTTTTTAAAAAATATATCTCAAATTCCTCCCAACATGGAAATTAAGGGGAAAGCAATAATTTCACACACACATACATATGTATTAAATGGAACTATTCCCTTATAAAAAGGCAATAAAACTGCTTTAAAGTATTTAAAACAGAGCAATCTATCATGGAAAAAGGCTTCCTGTAATGACCACTTAACAGCTAAAAGCCTATCTAAATAAAAAATATCTTTGTCTGTCAGCAGAAGAAAAGCAGAGAGGAGACCAGCATCCCGTGTGCAAGGTCTCCAATCTTGACTCAGCCATCAGAAAGTCTCCCCTACATTTCCACTGCCTTAGCAATGATGGGACTGCACCGGGGTGGGGTGGGGAATAAACCCTCTCCCAAGGTTCTTCAATCTTGAGCACATTCATGATATACAGTCTTGTAGATAGTCCACATCTAAGCCATATAGAGCTTTTTAGCTTATAAATGGCACTCGTTCATTGTGGTCCAACAGCAATGAAACTACATACCCAAGGCTATTCCTGATCTTTAAAAAGGATGGCTTTCTCCAGAACTATTTCTTTTAAATTAAGATTGCCCCAGGAACGATGGTATTATTTATTATTATGTATTTAAGAAACCAGTAGTGAAACTCAAACATCTACCTTCACCTATAACAACATTGCATAAGATTCCTCCTGCCTCACCCATGCTAAAGTACCAATAAGCATGTTTACCTTGTTATAACATTTCAGTGCTCCTCTGTACAGGTAGGCTCTCACGCTTTTCGGCTGTATTTTGATGGCTTCTGTACAATTCATTATTGCCTTAGAGAATCTTCCTTTGCTCCCATAATAAGCAGCACGGCTTAAATATGCCTTTGTAGGAAAACAAAAATACATTATAGAACAAAAACTACTGATATGTAGATCATTTTGTCTTAATATCCAACAGAAGAATAAAAACTCAGTATTTTCACACTCTAAGCTGCCAATAATGATTTATAAGACTGAGAATCAGCTGTGTTACCAATAAAGTCCTGTTCCACAGGAAAATTCTAAATGTAGTCAGCCCTTGGACAGTAAATGTGACAGTAAATGTGTTTGTTCCTCCAATAGTGCATTCAATGTTCTTATAATTGGTGGAAGGGTGAATATAAAATGTCACATGTTACATACAAATACATGATGTATTCATAACAAAGTCATTTATGGCAGATAACATAACCCCTATTCCTCCCATTATGTAAAAAAATTATTACAATTTGAGTCACTATAATTTTTCAAAGATGTTTTCCTCACAATATAACCCAGTGTTGCAGCACAATTCAGTTATTCCTCATCTTCAGGTGAAAAGCTACACATCTCCTTCCTTAGAAAGAATTGTTTTTTCAGTCTTTCACTAACACTGGAGTAGGGAAATGTATAGTTTTGCATCTCCCAATTACGTCTGATGTAATCATGCTCTGAATGTCAAAAAAAATGGCCAGCCACATCCGCAGATCGTCCCCTATCCCCCTGAGACTTGAAATAACCTTCAAAAAATGGTTCCTTCTGATGTGGGGAGAGGGAAGCAATTTGGGCATTAAGGATTTCATTAGAAGGAGTGGGGGATGACAACAGGGAAATGGATGAAAGCAGAGGGAAAGTCTTACCCCGTTCCCTCATGTCTTTCCCTGACTTGAGTGATGGCCAGACATCCCATGTCCTTATCCATCTTTCCCTCACTTTCTTCCATCTTAAGACTGTTTGGAGTTGGGAGGCATTGAGACCATCGCCAATGAATACAGCGACAGCTGCACCCCGTCATGTATATCCTTTGGACCTAAGATTGTTTCCATGCACTGCAGAAATGGAGTCCTACCGGTCATGCCCTTACGTCATGTGATTGCCTCCCTGGTACTCCTGAGGGCCCCATTTCCACAGCCCTACAGATGGGTGCCCTACACCCATCTGATAAGGATCTATGACAAGTCAAGAGACATGGAAATATCCATTTTATGGCTTACTGTGATTTCTGGAGGTGTCTGGGTGAGCAGGAATTTTCTGAAAACTACTCCCTACCCTCCAAATTCTTATTTTAACTGATACTTATTAATTTATACATGTAGACCGTAGGCTGTTGACAGTGACCTCCAGACTTCACTTAAATGCAGCATCCATGATCCCTCTCCACTAGCTATGCTAGCTGGACTCTGGTGGACCACAGTTGCTCCCCTTCCTCTTATACAGACCGAGCTTCTTTTTTTTCCTGCTGGGCAGCATATATCATATCTTGGCATATATTTTAAAGTTCTGAGAGTGCCTTGGACTGCGAGAAGATCCAACCAGTCCACCCTCCAGGAAATAAAGCCCGACTGCTCATTGGAAGGAAGGATACTAGAGACAAAGTTGAAGTACTTTGGCCACATCATGAGGAGACAGGAAAGCCTAGAGAAGACAATTATGCTGGGGAAAGTGGAAGGTAAAAGGAAGAGGGGCCGACCAAGGGCAAGATGGATGGATGGCATCCTTGAAGTGACTGGAATGACCTTTAAGGAGCTGGGGGTGGTGACGGCAGTACAGGGAGCTCTGGTGTGGGCTGGTCCATGATGTCACGAAGAGTTGGAGATGACTGAACAAATGAACAACAACACAAAACCAGAGCTATTTTCCTCATAGCAAAAAATCTTTCCACTCAAATTGTGTTTTGGCCAGGAAATCAGAAGACGCTTACTTCTTGGGAGGAGAGCAATGTCCAGTCTCGATAAAATAGTAAAGAGTAGAGACATCAGACTGGCAACAAAGATCCGCCTAGTCAAAGCCATGGTATTCCCTGTAGTCACCTACGGATGTGAGAGCTGGACCTTGGGGAAGGCTGAGCGAAGGAAGATAGATGCTTTTGAACTGTGGTGTTGGAGGAAAGTTCTGAGAGTGCCTTGGACTGTGAGAAGATCCAACCAGTCCATCCTCCAGGAAATAAAGCCCGACTGCTCATTGGAGGGAAGGATACTAGAGACAAAGTTGAAGTACTTTGGCCACATCATGAGGAGACAGCAAAGCCTAGAGAAGACAATTATGCTGGGGAAAGTGGAAGGTAAAAGGAAAAGGGGCCGACCAAGGGCAAGATGGATGGATGGCATCCTTGAAGTGACTGGACTGACCTTGAAGGAGCTGGGGGTGGTGACGGCCGACAGGGAGCTCTGGCGTGCGCTGGTCCATGAGGTCACTAAGAGTCGGAGACGACTGAACGAATGAACAACAACAACACAACACAGATAAAAATAGAACCTAGAGAATTATTTGAGAGAAATGCTTCCAGTGATCATTCAGAAAGATCCCAAAAGCTTGTATCTCTCTGTGTTTGAAAGTAAATCACGCAATGCATCTTATTGCAAAGTAAAGCTGAATCCACACTAGAATTATACCCCAGCCCGAATGAGCACGATCCTGCCCCAGTTTGACCCCACTGAAAGCCAGTCACACTTTTTAATCTGAACTAAAAGGAGTCTTGAAAGCCACATACTTCCTCCCTCCCAGAAGCCACTGCAGTACAAAAGGGAATTTCTTGAATGGTCATATATTTATTGTATTGGATTATTTTAGGTCACACACCCAAGGCATCTGTGGGGGTGTTATATTACTGATATGCATAAACCTAGCAATGAATAGCCTTTCTTACTCTCTTGTTAATGTTACAACACACATCGCCCTCCAACCAAATCCCATTCTCACAGGTGTGGATTCAGCCTCAGTCTGAACATGATTCTTACTTAAGAATGAAAATATGAAAAAGGCTATCTTTGATCTATATTGCTATATTGTTATTGTTATTAATAAGTTTTAAATGTTTTAAATGTTTAAAATGACTATTTTATAATTTAATGTTTTAATTATTGTTGAATCTGTGTTCTATTGTTATGGTCTATGTGTTGGCATCGAATTGCTGCTGATTGTAAGCTACTCTGAGTCCCCCTCGGCGGTTGAGAAGGACAGGGTACAAATGTTTGAAATAAATAAATACAAAACCTAACTACTGATAAAAGTCCATCAGAAGAATTACTTTAAAATATACTGTAACAGTCTTGGCATTTCCACTCTCAGAATTTCCACCAAACTAGCATTCTGAAGCCTAAGTAAGAATCTTTGCTCCCTTATGTCATTTGATTTGTTGAGTTTACAGTTGTCTATATTGTAAGGGCAAAACCACTTTTTGATGTAATATTTAAGTACATATAACAACTGCTAGAGAAGCATTATTATCAAGATCACATAGCACACAGGGTGAGTTTTATTCTTTCCTTCTATGGCAAAAGTAGGCCTAAGATGCTGCTGTTTGAATGGGAAAGAAACCTTTTATTTGTTGGCCCTGTGTGGCTAATTTCCAACAGCAACAGAATTGTCAAAGGATCAATTCTCGGGTAAAGTTAGCATCAGCTGAAACTATGAGAATACGAGGAAAGGGTGAAAGAGATTCTATGAGAGGGGGTGCATAAGATTATCTTAAATCCTGCCAGCCATCTTATGAAGCATCCTGCACACTTCTTGCCTCAGGCACAACATATGAATGAGAAATGGGTAAGCCTTTTAATGCTGTGGAACTGCAACTTCTAGCAGCCTTAACCAGCATTACCAATGGTGACGAATCCTGGGAATTGTGGCTCAGCAATATCCTGAAGAAAGAAACATTCTTACTCCCATCTCAAATATATGAAAAAAATTGCTTGAGTGAAGAATAATGTAGGACACATCAAACAGAAGGGAGGAAAGAAGGAAAATGAGAAATCAGACAAGGCATATTAGCAGGCCAGATATCTTGTGCTGTTCATAGAAAATGGAACAGCAATGGGAATGTAGGCTATATCTAAATAAGGAAAGCTGCATTTAGTAGCATCATAACATTTTCCTTCAGACTTCTATTTCCATCTTACTTACTACTTATTACAGACCTTGAATAGGCATGTTATCCGTTACCTGAAAATGGTTTGGTGCGACAGCAAGCGTTTTGTTGAAATCTAATATGCTTTTAGCTCGTTGGAGGTACATTCTGCAGAGCCCACGCTGATAATACGCATCTGCATAACGTGGATATAGCTTGACAGCTGAAGTAAAAGCCTCACATGCCTAAAAAGATAATATAAAGCAGTTTTACTGAGTACTACCTTTTATGAAATAGCAAGAGTATCAACATTTAAAAATTAGGAGGTTTTTATGAATTTTCTTTTCGTTTTATTTAACAAGAAAAGGGGCAACAGAAATCTTTGCAGGTTACTTGTTTATTTTATTTAATTTAGAGTATTTATACTCTGCTCTTCACCCACAAAGGACACCAGAGTGGTCTGCTTGCACCACTTCAGAATACTTAATAAAACAAGTGATTTTAACCATATTTCCTTAGAAAAATCTCTTTTGTGATCATGAGGACTTTTTGGTTTAATTTGGAGCCAAAGATAATGCTGTAATGAAATAGTCACAATCCTTCCAATAACCAGCTGTCATTAATAACAGCTGGTTATTAATGTCCAACTCTGATTAAATCATTATTCTAACCTTCTTCAATGTAAATGTGCTTACGTAACCTTCCAATAATCACCATAGTTTATTTTAACTATACGTTTTGGGGAAATGCTGTGTGTATATGAATAAGGAGAAGTGGGAAAGACTAGCACCATGAGAGGAGGAGAGGAAGGAGAGCTGGGTTGCTGTGTGGAGAGGTGAGGATCCTGGCAGGAAGGCGTGGGGCTGAACAAAGCCCTGCTTTCAGCCCCACGTCTTCCAGGCAGGACCCTCACCCGAGTATAAGCCAAGGGGGGCTTTTCAGCCTAAGAAAAGGGCTAAAAACTAGTTTTATACTCGAGTATATACAGTAAGTTGAAATTTCCATGAGATATACAGCAGAAGTACTACTGGCCTATCACTGACTTCCCCCTCCCCACATCATCAATTCTATAAATGTCTTTTATTGGGATGGCCATAAAGGGGTCAATATTATTTTTTTTACAAAAACCTGAGCAAATCAATAAAGAATGTTTTGATAGATTTTACTCTTTACTCATTTTAACCCAGCAATCAAAATTTCCATTTACGGCGCTTAAAATCAAGTTAAAACCAAGGAATAGATACCTCTATTAAGCAGACTTGTTCCATGTAGCATTCTCCTATAAGAAAATACATTTCCGCAGCTTCGAATGTATTAGGTGGACTTTTTGCAGAACCAGAAAGCAGCTTCAGGGCCTGTTTAAAACTGGCCACTGCATCCTGAAACAAAATGAAAAGCTAAGCATTGTCAATGTGTTGACAATCTATGATCAACTGCTCCTATTGACATGGAAAATCAAAGCACTTAAAATCATGGCTTATTTGTGCAAAAGATTCATAATAAAGTACTGGACATGCCTGAGAAACAGACCTCGCAGACACCCAAAAGTCCTCCTTGTATTTCAGAAGTGGCCCTTACCTCATTCAAATACTTATCTAAACATATATAAAAATGAGCACTTGAGATAATTTATCATTATTTATTGGATTGTTTGCTGTGGTTGTTGTTGGATGCCTTCAAGACATTTCTGATTTACCTCCCTCTTCTTTTATTTTTCCTCATGCCAGGAGTGACTTGAGAAACAGCAAGTCACTTCTGGTATGAGAGAATTGGCCGTCTGCAAGGACTTTGCCCAGGGGACACCCGGATGTTTCTAATGTTTTACCATCTTTGTGGGAGGCTTCTCTCATGTCCCCACATTGGGAGCTGGAGCTGACAGAGGGAGCTCATCCGCACTCTCCCCGGATTCGAACCTCTGACATGTCAGTCTTCAGTCCTGCCGGCACAAGGGTTTAACCCACTGCACCACCGGGGGCTCCTTCCTCTGAAGCTGAAGGAATGTGATTTGTGTTCTTTTCCAACTCTATGATCAATAAACAATGCTTCACTTTGGGATCATGGGAATGTGCAGACAGGGGCTCTTTGGTGCATATTCAGTTGAACATCCCGTTCTCTTGGAGCAGGCCCGTAGCCAGGATTTTGATTGGGGGGGGGGCTGAGTTTGATTCGGGGGGAGGGGCTGAGTCTGTGTGAAAGAGGGTCTACCCTAGCAAACCTTTTGTATCGTTACCCCAATATCCCCATGCATATGAAATATATTGAACATGGTGATCAGATCATTATATGAATAAACATAACAGTTTAAATAATGTACCAGTAAGGCCTTTTCTCAGACCACCATGAGAATTTCGGGGGGGGGGGGCAAAGCCCCCCCCCCTCGGCTACATGCCTGTCTTGGAGGCAAGCTAATAGCATCCCTGTACCCAACCAATACAATACTGTGGAGTACCTTTATTACCATTCAGCATTTCTTGAAAGCAATGGTACATTATTATTTGTGGCCATGATCTCTCTGCTACTGATAGCAGCCAATATGGAGATAACCAGCTAGTGAAAAATCCTTGAGGAGCTTAATGTAATGAATTGGATAGATAGAATTTAGACAGTATTAGGCCCCTTACACACATCTGAATAAAATCCTACATTATCTGCTTTGAACTGGAATATATGGCAGTGTGGACTCAGATAACCCAGTTCAAAGCAGATATTGTGGGATTTTCTGCCTTGATACTCTGGGTTATATGGCTGTGTGGAAAGGCCCTTAGAGAAACTGGCATTTAAACTCTGAATGGTTAGAAGACCTGGCAACAAATATAAATTTCTAGATGCCTGGTATTCTTTTATCACATTTGCATATAAAGACCCTTCATCTTGTGGTTTGTCAGTACTGCACGTGAAAAACTGGAAAAGTGTTCTTTTAAGAAGTTAAATTTGACTGACCTTAAATGGAGAATGTGAGGGACTTCTCTTCTGCTCAAACATTTCCCATTATTATAATTACAATGTTCTTATTACCTTTTATATTTAGGCTGTTTGATGTTTGAGGGTTTTTAAAAATATATATATTTTGTATAGTTGTCAGTCTCTGTACAGTTGCTTAATCTACCTGGGTCAAAAGAGAGCTGGACCTAGTGGCCATCTACACTGACCATTTGATGCAGTTTAAAACTGGAAGAAAGTGGTTTCACTGTGCACAGGAAATCCGGGAATCCTTGTTATCCAATACTATTTGCTGAAAATTCTGGTAACAGCTGAAACTTTTTATTTTCATCCTCTAATAGGAATTATTTTTGTAAAAAATATACAAGATATATTGCAGCAAAAGAAAAGTCCTGAGGGGCACACATGCATCTGTGGTACATTCTATGTTTTTTTACCATTCTACTAGTGATATACCATATATCACATTGTAGGCTGCAGGGTTTTTTGTTGTTGTTTTTTTAACTTGATGGCCTTAATATTGCTAGTACAAAACATAAATGCAAAAGCAATTCTTCGGTCATCGTTTTATCCTTTTCACCTTCTTTTAAAAAATATCAGAATTCATTATAGCGCATTTGTAAAATAGCATGTTGGCACTTAAATGCTGTACCTCTATGATACTAAGAAAAGTAACAAATAAAAATGCAGATAAAGATTCAAACAGGAGATCTCAAAATAAGTAATGATATATCAAAAATATGTTCAGCATGTCACCATCTAACTTACAATTACTATGCCCAGCAACTACCTGACCCCAAAATAATGGAAAGTAGACCACAAACATGGAACAAGTAGAACCCTAACACTACGTTAGCATTACTGAGCATAAGGCCCCTTCTACACTGCCATATATAATCCAGATTATCAACGCAGATGGAAGTCGCTTGTGCCAGCAGGATTGCAGACTGACAGGTCACAGGTTCGAATCCAGGGAGAGTGTGGATGAGCTCCTTCTGTCAGTTCCAGCTTCCCATGTGGGGACATGAGAGAAGCGTCCCACAAAGCTGGTAAAACATCAAAACATCTGGGCGTCCCCTGGGCAACATACTTGTAGACGGCCAATTCTCTCACACCAGAAGCAACTTGCTGTTTCTCAAGTTGCTCCTGACACGAAAAAAAAATCAAAGCAGATACTCCACATTATCTGCTTTGAACTGGATTATATTATTCTACACCGCCAGTAATTGTAAGTCCAAAGTATATAATTTGAATTTTATATGGCATTGTAGAAGGGGCCTCCAGCCTAAGTATGCAGAAATATCTTTGGAGGTGGAAATACCTCACAACTCAGACAGTGCAATTCTTATATTCTACTGTTTAAAAGCAAAAAAAAAATCCCCTTCAAATTTACAGAGATTGTAAGTTTTTAACCTTGTGTTTTTTGGCTTTCATTTGGATTTTTCCGAGAAGAACAAACATGGGAGGTTCAGGCTGCTTTTTGGCAGCAGCTTGAGCACACTCAATAGCCTTGTTATGATTCTGACAAAATGACTGAACAAGTGCTTCTTGAACAAGGGAACATTCAAGGAATCCTGTAAGGGATTTAAAGAGAAATTGATCATGACCAAAATATTCATTACTGTGCATTTCAGAATAGATATAAATTGAATAAATCTCTAACATAAATAGTCATAAATATGTAATTTTAAGAGATTTTCCAATCTTAGCATACAAAGTCAAACCACTAAACAACTTTATAAATGCCCTTTATATTAGACAAAAAAAATAAGTTTTCTAATATAAAGTCAGATCACAGGCCTGTTGGAACTCAACCACATCCTGGCACAAGGTTGTAGTCATCAAGGATTGTGGTTGGATCTACACTGCCATATAATCCAGATTATCAAATCAGATAATCCAGATTATCTACTTTGAACTGGATTATACACTGCCAAACAATTCAAAGACAGAGGCTATCCCTCTAAGGTTGTGGACACAGTCATTCAGAAGGTTAACGATATAGATAGATCTCACCTTCTAAAAAGTTCACCTAAATCACCTTCTAACAGGATCATCTGGCCTCTCACACTTACACAACTCTCCTCAAATATCTTTAAAATAATCAAGAAACACTGGCACATGATCAAGGATATTCCAGGCTGCCAATACACACCGATGGTAGCATACAAACGCACCAAAAATTTAAAGGACATGTTGATGTCATCAGATCTCACTAAACCTAAAAAAAGTCTATCTAGCCTTAAAGGACATACTTACTGTGGGCACTGTGAATGCTGCTCACAATCATTGAAAACTCTACAATTCACACACCCCACCATGAAAATCACTATACCTTTAAATGATTTGACTACCTGCTCGACAGAAAATTGTGTATATTGTATTCTATGCCCATGTGACCGTCTTTATATTGGTATAACAAGTAGACCGGTCAAGGTCAGAATAATGGAACATCGCTCTCGCATAAAAAACAAATACAATGACTGTACTCTTTACTCTCACTTTCTGGAGAAAGGACATACACCTTCCAGCTTCAAGTTTTGCATCATAGAAAAAATTCACACGAAGCCACACATGGACACTAAGAATTTTCTTTTGCAAAAGGAAGCATTTTGGATTTTTAAGCTCAACACAATTTTTCCTACCGGTCTTAATGACGGACTGGACCTCAGCTGCTTTCTATAACAGGCCCCATTATCCACCTTATCCACTAACAATTTACATTCCAGCTGCCGGTTTATAATTAGCTATGCATTTAAATTCCTGTTTCCCTGCAACCACAGTGCTCACAACTGAAGAACTCACTGTAGGGCCAGCATTCCATTCAAGACGTGAGTAATTATTTGTGGGGAGTCTGTTTTACTGTATTGCATGTTATCATCACTAAGTGTTTTTGGTTTGGGTGCCTTTGTTGGCATATCTATTATGTTGCTAGCTTGTTATTGTTATCACCCACTCAGGGATGTAGGGTGTGAACCACCTGCTAGCAAATAGAAGAAACATTCTGAAGAAGGGGAAGTCCCCCGAAACAAGGCGAACTCAACCCGGGGATCCTTGTCATTTGTTTACATTCTCAAGGACTACAAGTATTGATTTGTTTACATTCCCAAGGACTACAAGTATTGTCAATCCATTTACGGTCTTTAGGACTACTTATATCATCATTTGGAGTGTATTCTGCATTGGAGACCATATGGACAAGATTTTAGTTCACTGATTGTCTCAAGGACTATACATAATTTGTTTACGTTCTTATGGACTACAAGTATTTTCAGTTTATTTAAGGTCTCAAGGACTACTAATATCAGCATTCGGAATATATTTTGTATCGGAGACCGTTGGGATTATATTTGAAGTTCACTAACTGTCTCAAGGACTAATATACAAGCAAGGAACTTTCTATCTCTATTTTGTTTTGTGATTCACACACAATGTTTGTTTGAATACATGTTGCAACTTCTATTGTGGTATTGTATATAGATATCTGTGTTTCTTTGACATGAAGAAAAAGTACAACCAAACAGAAAGACATTATACCTTTATCCATTTCTGCAACTTGATATATGCAGAAGCTTGCAAGTTCAAACTTCTTCATATCCAGTAAATATTGTCCTCTGCAATAAAATGTTTAAAAAACATAGATTGCTTGGAATTCATGTGAAACTGTATCATAGTCCTTTAATGTAATACTATTCAAAGCTGTGGTCCCTTAATTTATATCGGTCCTTTGGTCCTGGTATTTTCCAGAAAATAACAATTGTTTTAATGGATGGTGGGATTAAGATTCTGAGAGAAATTGCTCAGATCTAGAATGCTCTGTGTCAGGCTTTCTGTAGTTGTAAAATCCTTTCTATTCCATAGAGACCGAAAATACAAAATTGTCACTATTTTAACATGTATCAACGTAGCATTCTCATGACACAGTGAAGCAACAGATCGTCCACCACATCCAAACTTTCCTGATTTACAAAGCAATCCTAACTCCAAAATGCGCTGGTGTAAAGTGTCAGGAGTAGGCATTATGCTATGGCAGTTAAAGTGGTGTCAAAATGCATTAATTCTGCAGTGTAGATGCACTCAGACATAGGATGAAAAGACAGACAAGCAGATCTCCTGTACAGTAGAGTCTCACTTATCCAACATGAACAGGCCGGCAGAATGTTGGATAAGCGAAAATGTTGAATAATAAGGAGGGATTAAGGAAAAGCCTATTAAACATCAAATTACGTTATGATTTTACAAATCAAGCACCAAAACATGTTTTATAACAAATCGACAGATAAAGTAGTTCAATACATGGTAACGTTATGTAGTCATTACTGTGTTTACGAATTTAGCACCACAACATCACAATGTATTGAAACAGCTGTGGATCCAGGCAGGAGGCACACTGCCTTCTACACTGCCATATAATCCAGATTATCAAATCAGATAATCCACATTATCTGCTTTGACTGGATTATATGAGTCAATACTGCCATATAATCTAGTTCAGAGCAGATAATCTGGACTTTCTATGGCAGTGTAGAAAGGGTCTTACTTAACTCGCCCTCTGCTATTCTGGTGAATTAGGAGTGCATCTGACTGTCTTTCTTTTTGTGGTGTTTTTAAACAAGAGGAAAAAATAAGAGAAAAAACTACATGTAAAGCATCCCTGGAGGAATGAACAGCTCAGTGTATGTGATAATAGTATCTTACCTTGTTAAGCATAAGTGGGCTGAGTTGGGGTAGAGATGAATGGCTCTGTTTATATCTCTAACTGCATATTTTAAGTCATGAATCTGTTATTTTCAAAAAGATAGGCATCCATTATTTCTAATTTTTGGACATTGCCACACAATACATTACCATAGAATAGTACTATTATTCAACTTGCTTACACTTTTAAAACAACACCAATAAATATTTAAAGCATAGCTTGTCTAAAAACAAGAGCCACCATGTTTTCCATTGGCTGCCATGATATCTAGCAATATTATAGAGTTGAGTAGCTTTGGCATAAGGTATGCACCAAACCTATAGTCTAACGCAGGGGTCCTCAAACTAAGGCCCGGGGGCCGGATGCGGCCCTCCAAGGTTATTTACCCGGCCCTTGCTCAGGGTCAACCTAAGTCTGAAACAACTTGAAAGCACACGACAACAACAATCCTATCTCATCAGCCAAAAGCAGGCCCACACTTCCCATTGAAATACTAATAAATTTATATTTTTTAAAATTGTTCTTCATTTTAATTATTGTATTTTTAAGTGTTTTTTGGCACTACAAATAAGATATGTGCAATGTGCATAGGAATTCATTCATGTTTTATTCAAATTATAATCCGGCCCTCCAACAGTTTGTGGGACTGTGACCTGGCCCTCTGTTTAAAAAGTTTGAGGACCCCTGGTCTAACGTGTCATTAGAACTGAATGTGCAGGAAAGCGGAGCAGGGAGGGGTTATGTGAATGCACAGATATCACTCAAAGAACCTCTGTTACTGGTAAGCAAATTGATCTTCACCATGGTCACTATGTTTCACACAACTGCTTGCTTATTTATAGTGATGGGGTAGGTGAAACTTTTATGAAAGTCAGTTGCATCCTGACAAAAACTCCTCTGCACAAATGAGGAAGAGAGATTTCTGCTAGGCAATTGACACTTAAACTGAGCACAGGTTGCTTAGCTGATAAATAGGTCAATTTTATGGCTTGCACAATAAAGTTTGCAAATTTCTGAGATCACATGCTCTTTTTATGTCTTCTATAATAAAGAAACAAATATGAAGATTATTTGAAGTCTTTACTGGCAGTTTCTGAGCTACAAATATCTGACTTACAAATGACTCATAGTTAAGAATGGGGGTGAGACCACAGGAAGTGGAAGAAATCTACCCCTAGGAAGGGAAATTCATTTCTGAAAAAAGTTATGGGGAAAAATGTCTCCACTGAAGCTTTAACATCAATCTTAGTCTCCACAACAAGCCAATTTTTTTTCAAAATCCAGTGATCACAGGGATAGAAAGTGAGGTGAAATCTTCTGAACAGGGCACAGACAGGCAAATAAATATCACAGGGGTACCTTTCCCTAAGCTATCCAAAGTGCTTGATCTCTCTCTCTCTCTCTCTCATTCTCGCTAGTTATTCGGCTGGAGTTACATGTAAAAATGTACCTGTTCTAGTTTACATACAAATTCAACTTAAGAACAAACCTACAGAACCAATCTTGTTCATAACTAAGGGACATCCTGTAGTTCTATGTATATGATATGCTAGGGCTCCCTATACATCAAGGTAGTGAAATACCCTTTTCAGCTGTGAAGGAGGCGTAAGAAAAAAAAGTTTGGAAAACAAACACATTGTAAATGGATATTTGGCACTACTCTCATGAGGAAGGTGACATTAGGTCTTAACTTCATCTTATCTCTATGGAACATGAGATAAAGGAAGCCGTTGCAACCATAAGGTAGTCTTGCAAATGAAGAGATGTAAATCCATCAAAACAAAATGTTCAGATGGTGTGAGCTGTGAGAGCATCAAAGATAAGAACCATGGAAAAGCTGGGTGAAATGAAATCAGATTTTTTTAAAAGAAACATCAGATAAAAAGATTTAAAAAAAACAAAAGGTGAGAAAGTGAGAATATAAAGTAGCTATTCAACAAACTGTACTACTGGAAGAATTCTCTGGGAAAAGTTGCCTGAATGGTAGATGAAAACACTGTTATTACAGGAAGGAATAGCAGAGTTTCCATCTAAACAACTCAGTTCTAAAATGTTCCAAATGCAGTCTGCACGGGTACAAGGCCTAATTGTGTGATGCACTGTGGCTATAATAAAGAATAATGTATGATATGCAAAAAAGGAAAAAGAAAAGAAAAAGATGACTTTTAGAACCCAATTGAAAAAAGCCACTAGTATGGCTCATGTAACAATTTTTATCTTAAGTTTACTTTTGAAAGTTCAATCTCTTCTTATAAACTATAACAGTAAATCAATAAATTGTTATTTTTAATATGTTTTCTTAGAATTTGACTACACTGAAGACATTATACCCATTGGGTGCAGAATGCAGTTGTCTTTTAAAAAATGAAAATAGAGCCAGGAAGGATGTTAGCAACATATAAGATCAACTTAATTACCTGTCAGTTGGCTACTTTGTCAGAAGGGAAAGAAGTTGGACTGAAGTGTAGACAAATAATTAATTTTTTCAAGCCAACATCATCCACTGAGTCCCACATCAAATATACAAGCATTTAGCTAGTTAAGATATTAAAGGCTTTTTGCAAAATTTTAAAGTACAGTATGGAAAATGGGTACCTTGTGATATGCTTGAGCTCTGCACAAGTAAGGTCTAATATCTAGGGGATCAACCTGAATGGCACGAGTGAACTGTCGAATAGATTCAAAAAAATGATCCAGATGCAACATCATAATCACTCCAATGTTTATATAAGCTGTTGTAAGAGTCCTAAAACATAAATAAAATACTTTAATATTTTCTCAGTTAAATTTATTTGATCCACTTCTTCAGGGTTCTTCAAGTAAAGTACGCAAAATTAAGCAAACAGGAGAGCAAATAAACAAAGTGTACCTGTCCAATTCTAATGCACTTTCAAAATCGCATATTGCCAATGCCCATTCTTTCAGTTCTGCATACAAGATTCCACGGTGAAGGAACGCACCAAGATTGTCATAGCTGTAATTGAGAAGAACTGGAGAAGAGGGGAAATCCAGGCATGAAACTCTTTGTATTTACAGCATAGAACATATCCTTCTCCCAGAACAATAGACCTATACTGAATAGGGTTACATTCCTCTGAAGCCACAGCCTCACAGTCTGGGTGTACTTCTGAACTGAGGTTTGAGCTTGGAAGCTCAGCTTTCTTCACTGACCATGAGTGCTTTGGCTAGTGAGGACAAAAAGCGATTGCTTCACCTTCACCTGTTCCTGGAAATGCCTGATGTGGCCATTTTGGCACATATCTTCATTACATCCATTTGGATTATGGAAACCTGATATGGAGATGGCTTAGAAATTCAGTTGTTACAAAGAGCTAATGCTTGTGTTTTTAACTGGGACTGGATAGTGGTATGATACAACCTTTGCTACAGCAGCTCCACTGACCTATGAAGCCCTATATATTTCAGGTCCAGGCTATCTGATATATCTCAATGAATTCTTAAAATCCTCAGGACAAGCCCTTCTCTTCAGTTCCATCACTTTCATAGACATGGCTAAAAAAGGTGTTAGATATGACCTTCTTGGTGGTTACCTCTAGGCTCTGGAACTTCCCTCCTAGAGAAGCTAGAATGATATCCCTTGGTACAGCTACACTGTCAAATTAATGCAGTTTGACACCACTTTGACTGCCATGGTCTAATTCTGTGGAACCTGGAAGTTGCAATTAGGGGAAGCATCAGCAGGTTTGGCAGAGAAGGCTAAAGACCTTGTAAAACTACAAATTCAATGATTCTGTAGCATTGAACCATGGCAGTTAAAGGGGTGCCAAACTGCATTAATTCTGCAGTGTGCTTTCAGCAGAAGGCAAAATCTTTTATTCTGATAGGCCTCTGAAAGTTGAATGTTTTAAAGAAAGGACTTTTAAGGGGCTGTTGTATTATTCTGAATGTGCCTTTAATTGTTTTTAAATTTTGAAATTGTATTAATGTCATAGATAGTTTTCATTTTAAGTTGCTATTTTATATATTTTAACTATATTGAATTGCAATTCTAGTTTTAGGGGAAATGTGGGGCTTAAATAATGTTCACAAACCAATCATCTTTAAAAAAAATACTGAAGGGATTCCATGACTCCTGTGTGTGTGTGTGTGTGTGCGTGCATGTGTGTGTGTGTGCGCGCACACACACACACGCGCGCGCGCATGGGCAAAGGTTTCCCCTGGACATTATGTCTAGTTGTGTCTGATTCTGGGGGATGGTGCTCATCTCCATTTCTAAGCCAAACAGCCAGCATTACCCGTATACGCCTCCAAAGCCACATGGCCAACATTACTGCATGGAGCACCGTTACCTTCCTGTCGGAGCGGTTCCTATTTATCTACTCACATTTGCATGTTTTTGAACTGCTAGGTTGGCAGACAGACAGACAGACAGACATACAGACAGACAGATATCACAAGCAATTTTAATCTAATGAGAAACAAACCTGGAATAGGGCAATAATTCTAAAATACTTAAGTGGGCTACATGCAGAAGGTTTGTTCAAACTCCAGTTTCCCTTCTCTGTCAGCTACCTTATCTCTTCCCCCTAAATCACTTCCAAGGTTATCTTCAAAGGAAGTAAGATACCACAAAACAGGCACATCTACACTTGTGTCTCTCTTGGTGTGTCACTGGGATCACTAACAGAATCAAATCAGGCAGAGGTCAAACACAAACAAGAAAAAATATTACAAGTCATCTTTATATTGAATAGCTCACTTGTTTGAATCCCTAGGGGACAACTGCATCTTTAAATAAACTTTCAATTATTCTCATCTTTCATCTTCCTCTTAGTCCCATCATTCATCTTCCTCTCGGTTGTCCAAAACTGACACTTTGTATATTGGGGTGGGAGACAAACAGATAGTACAGAACTACAGCAATCAGCATTCCTTACCATTAGCTTACTCACTTTTTCATCTTCCTTTCTTTTCCCTTGCTTATCTAAGTTTTTGCTAAGTGTCTTCCAACTGTCAATCTGCTTTTCAATTCCTCCCTCTTTTCTCAGCACCCTTCCCCCTCCCCCACCACAAAGCTCGATATGGTTGTGATAGGAGAAAGCAGACAGCATCTCCTCTGTCCATTACACTTATCTATTGTGATTTTTTCTATCAAGTTCCCTGAAGCAACTATTGTGATGGATGGAAAAGAACTGAGCATGAAAGTGGTGAATTTCCTGACAGAACTTTAGCCAAGCTATAGAGTTTTGTTGAATAGGAACAGAAAACACATAGCAAGGGGCCATACAGAAAACACAAAGAAGAATTAGTGTTTGTACAAGGTCATAACTCTCTTAATCACATCTGAAAAATGGTAAATTATCTGTTTATGCCCAAATTCAAAATTAAAAATCTTTAAAGGGGGAAAATGTTTGCTAGTGGAGAACTAGTTTTTTTTAATAAAAAAAACCTCTCAAATTTAGGAATAAAAGAACTAGTTCACATAATGAAAAACGAGGAGTAGGCAATAGAAATGGTCATGAAACACTGAAATACCGGTATATGCAAGCTTAATTGAATGTTTGACTATAGTAGTTAGAGCCTGCTAAATAGAAACTAATCATATTTACTTTAAAATGCTCATTTTTTACTTTAAAATGTTGATGAGCTTACAGACACATGGACTATGAATTCATAACATCCACATATGAAAGTAAATGTCTTGTAAAAAATGTTTAAATTTCAACAACTATAAATGCATTTTGGCCTATATGTGAAAACTATGGGAGAAATACCGGAAACACTGAAGTCCTGTAAGGCTTGTTTTGGATTCAGCTTTCGCAAAATGCAGCCTCTGTAGTAGTAGGCAATCCAATTACAAGGATTCAAATGAATTGCAGCACACAAGTCTTCAGCTGCCTTGTCATATTTCCCTAGTTGCAGATATGTTCTTCCACGATAGGTCCTAAAACATAAACTCAACTCAACAATACTTTCTCTACATTACAACCCTAATTGCATTACTAAAAGTTAACTTGGTTTCATTGCTGAAACAACAACAGTTGCTCCAGTCCATAGGCTGCAGGTGCTTACCTTGCCTCAGCATGGTTTGGATCTTCTTCAACCACAGTTGTAAAATCATTAACAGCTGCAATCCAAGAAGATTTGTTGAAAGAATATATTCCATGCTTCATAAGTGCATCTGTTCTTCTCGGATTATAGTAAAGACACTACATTGAAATAAAACACACAGATAACGTTTCCACAATTCTTATTATATCAGACTCACCACATTGTTTGGGCTTAAAGCATATCACAAATTATTCTATGGTCAATCCATACCTTCTAATACATTCATTATTTACCTAAAATGGCAAAGGCTGAGATCCTATACATTTTTCCTGGAAGTGCATCCCAACGGCATAATAAGGGTTACTTCTAGTAAATTTACAAATACTAAATAAATTTGAATACAGCTCACAGTACAGGCAGTCCACAAGTTACAAACAAGATGGGTTCTGTAGGTTTGTTCTTAAGCTGAATTTATTTGTAAGTCAGAACAGGTACATTTCTTAAGTGTAATTCCAGCCAAAAATATGTGTTTTTTAACTCTGAATAGCAAAGGGAAGGATTAACATCCCTGTGATATTTGTTTTGCTGTCTCTGCCCCTGTTCAGAAGATTTCACCTCACTCTCTGTCCTTGTGGCAGTTGGATTTTGAAACATTTGAGTTGTGGAAAAATGGTTTGGTGATAAAGCTTTGGTGGAGACACTTTCCCACATAAGTCTTCCAGGAGTGAATTTCCCTTCCTAGGGGTACATTTTTCGCATTTCCTATTGTTTCACTTCATTCTTTACTATAAGGTATTTGTAAGTCAGATGCTTGTAATTCATGAACTGCTTGTACTGTAATCGGAGAATAAATCTTATTTTTATTCTGCTGCATGCTGTCAGGATTAAATGCACTTTGACTTATTAAAGCTCAAAAAATAAGATGTACCATGTCACCCATTTTATATACCTGTTTTCCAAATGCCTAAAGGCCTCCTTTTCTGAATACCTTCAACAACAAAAAAAGCTGGGTATCTGTAGCTGGAGTCTCTGCATTGAGAAGGGGATTAGACTTAATGTCCTCTGACTGGACAATTTCTAGTACAAGCTTGGGGGCTGCAATAGCTCCCTATAGAAACCTATAGAGATATACACCTAGAGGTCATGAAGAACCATTTCGAATTTTTAAAAAGTTTTTTTGATCAAAGATAAGTAAAAATTCCAAAGCAGCCAGGATTAAAACTTCAACATAGTTACCAAATTGAAATCCCAATTTGAGTTGGTGAAACATAAGAATTTATATCACCCTTTCAGAAACCACAAGTAAGTATCCCATCCAGAAATCCTGGACAAGATTGTTGATGTGTGGAGGCCTGACATTAAGGCCCCAGACAATTTTGAGTATTGAGTATATGTATATCTGTGTAGTTAGGGTCCACACCCAATGCTGAGAGGGGATAAAAAGATTGCACCCTGTATTCAAATGAAAAATGATGAACTACCTTCATTCTAAGCCCGCTAGAGAACAAGGAGAATTAAGGTTAGATGTTCACATTTGTTCTAAAGCACAGAAGGAAAGATGCTTGGCTTTCCTTCTGTTGGGGTATAGCACCACTTCAGAAGTTTCCACTAATTTATATATTACCTCAAGTAAATATATTTAAAATGGGCATGTGCTTCCACTGATATTTTTTTTAAAAACTGTCAAAGGGTATCCAATCAGGGCATTTTCTGAGATACACAAATGGTACAATGACCTTTCTCAAGTGATATGCACTTTAAAAGGCTCCAGCCAGGTGTAGACATGGGAAGGAGTGAAGGAGAAAAATAAAATAAATCTACTCAGTAAGACTTACTCTGGTATAATCCTCCATTGCCAATAGTAGGTCTCCTTCTTCTTCATGGGCTTCACCTCTCTTGTAATATATTTCATCATCTGTAGGCCTGCTTCTTGCAGCAAGAGTGTAGTTAATAATTGCTAAAGAATTCTCTCCTTGCTTTCTGTATATATCTGCTCTTGAGAGATATGCATCTATATATGAAAATTAAACAAAACAAAACTTTAAACATTCCCGTGATCCATACTGACTTGTAAAGATATTTTTTTCTAAAGAAACCTTTAATTTTATTTTTAAAGCAAGCCTGAGAGGCAAATCTGCAAACATGTCAAACATCAATCTTCATTAGAAATTGAGAATTTTAAATAATTTTCCCATCAATATTTCAACTTTCCAGTTGATGTGTCCAAAGAAAACAAAACTCTATATACCTCCCAGGGCTCCTCCCGACGGTCCAGTAGATCAAGTGAATGTTGTGGCATTCTGGTTCAGAGCTCTAAGCCTTGTGGGCTTTTTCACATTCCCATACCCAATTATATCCTAGATATACTGGGATTTCAGCATTAATCTGTTGCTGGTTATACCAAATTTTTGCACTACCCCATCTTTTCACCCACTTACCATGTGATTAAGCAGTGGCATGCATATAGTTTTCCCTCCACTTCTGCCACTTAAGTTGTTTTATCATTTATTGAGTAGTTTCTTATTTGTTTATATATTATTTTTCTTCGTGGTCTCTGCGAATGCACACTTGTGGAGAGACTGCGCCTGCACGGGCTCCAACGGAAACTTCTACAGTTTAAACTTTTCAAGTTTTGGCAGTAATCCCGCCCAGCCCCGGCAGGGGATAAAAGGGCGCCCCGCGCATACCGACACAATTCCTTTTTTTCCGCCGCACGGCTCGCTTCGATACTTCTACTTGGATTGAGGCGCCATGTTCGATTCTCTCTCCCAGTCGGTGTTCCTCCCGGAGGAGAGATTCAGGGCTCTTCGTGCCGAGGCGCTCAAAGTTCGTCGATCCCGAGTAGTTCCAGCGAAGCAGATACAGGTCCTCCTCGGGCACATGGCCTCCACGGTGATGGTGACACCGTTGGCGAGACTCCGCTTCCGGCCCCTCCAGAGATGGTTTCTGGACCACTTCAACCCCATGCGGGACAGTGCCGCAAAACGCTTGTTGATACCGAGGTCGGTGAAGGACTCTTTAAACTGGTGGATGAACCGCCAGCATGTCTGCAAGGGCATTCCCTTTCACCCAGAGCCCCCAGCCGTCACGATCACGACGGACGCCTCGATGTTCGCATGGGGATGCCATACAGGAGAACTCTCGGTGCACGACCTCTGGTCTCCACAAGAAAGACAGTGCCACATAAATTACTTAGAATTGCTGGCAATCTTCAAAGCCCTGAGGGCATTCGCCCTCCTGGTCACCGGGAAGTCTGTCCAAATCCTTACGGACAACATGGTGGCGATGTTCTACGTGAACAAGCAGGGCGGAACGGGCTCGAGAAAACTCCTCAAGCTGTCACTGGAACTATGGGAGTGGTGTGTAGCCAGGTCGGTGTCGATAACAGCTCTGCACCTTCCAGGCGAGACCAATGTCGAGGCGGACGCACTCAGCAGAACCAAGTCGACCTCACACGAGTGGAGGTTGAACCCCGACGAACTGGCCAAGATCTTCAGGGATTGGGGCCTTCCGGCTGCAGACCTCTTCGCATCGCCGCAAAACGCTCAGCTCCCGCAGTTCGGTGCTCAACTTGCTCCGAACACGGTACCGGGATGTCTCGGAGACGTGTTCCTCCTAGATTGGTCGAGGCATCTGCTCTACCTCTTCCCACCCTTCCCGCTCATCCCGAGGGTGATCGAGAGGGTCCAATCGGCGCAAACGAACTGCATCTTAATAGCGCCAGAATGGCCACGACAACCGTGGTTCTCGGTTCTCCTCCAGTTGTCCGAGGGACGGATGAGACGCCTTCCACTTCGGCAGGATCTGCTTTCCAGGGAAGACGGTCAGCTACTCCACCCCGACCTCGCTTCTCTTCATCTTTCGGCGTGGAGGATCCAGTTCTGAGGTCCCTGTGTCCAGGGGTTCTCCCAATCCTGGCTGCAGCTCACAAGCCAGAAACCAAGAAATGCTATTCGGCGTGCCTCAAACGCTTCCAGGCCTTCCTCTCTGAGAAGGGACTAGACGATCATCGGCCTTCGGTACCGTCAATTCTCTTGTTCTTACTGCACCTTACCGAAAGGGGCTTGTCGCTATCATCGCTCAAGTCTCACCTAGCGGCCATCTCTTGGCAGCTTCAACGGACAGGAGAAGCTTCCTTGTTCAAGGATAGCTCCGTGAAGTCTTTCCTGCGGGGTTTCAACAACCTGCATCCCCCAGTCCGTTCCCCAACTCCAGGCTGGGACCTCGACCTCGTGCTGGCTCGGCTCGCACAAGCGCCCTTTGAACCTTTGGCGTCGATCGACCTTCGGCTGCTGTCGTGGAAGGTAGCCTTTCTGGTTGCTATCACCTCAGCCCGTCGGCCGTCGGAACTCGCGGCACTGCGTGTGGACGAACCGTACTTTGTTGTCCACGAGGACAGGGCAGTTCTCCGCACAGACGTGACATTCCTCCCTAAAGTTGTATCCCCTTTCCATGTTAATGAGGACATTGTCCTTCCCTCGTTGTGTCAATCTCCCTCTACCCCGACGGAGAAAAGACTTCATATGCTCGATGTGCGGAGAGCATTACTGTGTTACAGAGACAGAACTGCTCAGTCTCGAAGAACCCAATGACTGTTTGTTGCATATGCCCATGATAAGGTGGGCTTGCCGATTACGGCACAACGCTTGTCTCATTGGATCACCTCGACCATCGAGCTTTGTTACCAGCTGGCTCGACAACAACCTCCCTCGGTTGTCCGGGCTCGGTCAACCAGGGCTATGGCGGCATCGACAGCCTTCCTTAAGGGAATTCCTCTGGACGCTATTTGTAAGGCGGCCATTTGGAAGAATCCTCAGACATTTGTTTCACATTACAGACTGAATACCAGGTATACACCTGACATGGCCTTTGGGAGGGCAATTCTGGAGTCGTGTCCGCATTAGGACCCTTTAAGAGTATTTTGTTGCGTCGGTACCATGAACCTTTTCGGTACCGTATATTGTTGTGAATTTTATTGCCATGTGTTTGCTCGATTAGAGCTGTTTACCAATGATGGTGAATGTAATTGCACCTGTTGTACTTGATGCCTTTCCTGCCTAAGGCACAGGCAACCTTGCACTATAGCCTCGTTAGGCTCATTACGGGTAGCGCTTTGTTTCGCTATCGACCATTTTGCCTTGCAAATGTGTTTTTGCACTTGTTGACAATAGTGTTTTGTGTAACTACTTAAAGTGCCCTCATTGCAATGAGTGTTTTCAACAATCACTATGTTGTTTGTTTCTAAGGGTCAAAGGTTATATAATTGTTCAAGAATGCCCTCACTCGTCGAGTGTCTTTCACTGTGAATTCGCCACCCTCACGTGGCCAGGAGGAACACGTACTCCCATAGGTTTATGCACTGTGCCCTTCTTCGGAAGTGATTGCAATCTCTTGTTTGGTAACTGTTTGCACTTAATAAAATTGTTTGGCCCTTGGCTTTATTGGTCGGTTTGCCTTCTTCCCGCCTCCGGGACCTAAGCTTGCTAGTCTCCACAAGTGTGCATTCGCAGAGACCACGAAGAAAAATGGTAGGTTACATACCTGTGACCATCTTTCTTCGAGTGGTGCTCTGCGAATTCACACTAACCCGCCCAGCCTCCCCTCAGTCAAACCTCCAATTTCTCGCTGCCGTAGCGGCGTAGGAATTGTGTCGGTATGCGCGGGGCGCCCTTTTATCCCCTGCCGGGGCTGGGCGGGGTTACCGCCAAAACTTGAAAAGTTTAAACTGTAGAAGTTTCCGTTGGAGCCCGCGCAGGCGCAGTCTCTCCACAAGTGTGAATTCGCAGAGCACCACTCGAAGAAAGATGGTCACAGGTATGTAACCTACCATTGTTGGCACTGAATGTTTGCCACTGTGTATTTCGTTGTGAACTGCCCTATAGGGCGGACTATAAATAAAGTTTCATTCATTCATTCATTCATTCATTCATCCCATGAACTCCTTAGCACTACTAAATACATTCCTTGCCCAGTATCAACATTCCCAGAATTGCACATTATTTCTATTTTCTATCTCAAGATTTTAAAAAGTTTTATGTATAACAGTACTCCTAAAGTAATATAGTGTCATACTGGTTGTGCACTACAACTCTAAAAGAAATGAAAAAAGAAATCAGTCTGGTGATTATATCTTTTCTATTTATCTATATATATATAAATCTGTTAGGTTGGTTCAACCAGACAGCAAAACTCCACAACCCCCCAACAAAACTGTACCAAAATTGCCATGCTCATAACACAACCCATAAGGTACAAACATATCTACTCAAAATGAAAAACAACACAACAACACACTCACAAAACGGCAAAACAACTGAGCATGCGCATTGGTGCCCAGCCGCAAGTTCCCTGGCGCGCGCACACAGTCTTCCGGCCAACGTTCCCTCTGCGGAAGCCATGCCCACTCCAAGCCCCACCGCGCCGCTTCCCGCACACACACCCCCCTGCCGCACGCACACACACAACCCCACGCTCCATCACTCCCCCCGCCGCACACACACACGCAACCCCACGCTCCATCACTCCCCCCACCGCCACACACACACGCGCAACCCCACTCCCCCCCACTGCCGCACACACACACGCAACCCCACGCTCCATCACTCCCCCCGCCGCCGCACACACACACACAACCCCACGCTCCATCACTCCCCTGCCCCAATCTTACCTCCTTTTACTTCACGCCACCTCCAAACCCCACCCCGCCCCTTCCCGCCCTGTCAAAATCCAGGAAAGACAGGAAGGAAGGAAGAAGGAAGAAGAGAAAGGGAGGTAAAGAAAAAGGGGGAAGGAAGGAAAGTTAGAGAAAGAAGGAAGAAGAAAGGAAAGAAAAGGAAAGATGGAAGGAAAGAAAAGAGAGACAGCAGAAGAGAAAGAAAAAGGGGGAAGGAAGGAAAGAGGTAGAGAAGGAAGAAATGAGAGACAGAGGGAGGGAAAGAAAAAGGGGGAAGGAAGGAAGGAGAGAAGGAAAGAAAAAAGGGAATGAAGGAAGGAAAGAGGGAGGGAAGGAAGGGGGAAGATGTAGAGAAAGAGGGAGGGAAGGAAAGAAGGAAAGAGAGAAGGAAGAAAGAGAAGAAAGGAAAGAAAAGGAAGGAAAGAAGGAGAGAAGAAAAAAAAAGGGAAAAGGAAGGAAAGAGGGAGTGAAGGAAGGGGGAAGATGTAGAGAAAGAGGGAGGGAAGGAAAGAAGGAAAGAGAGAAGGAAGAAAATAGACCAGAAGAGAAAGAAAAAGGGGTAAGGAAGGAAAGAGATAGAGAAGGAAGAGGAGAAGGAAAGATGGGAGGGAAGGAAGGAAGGAGGGAAAGAAGGAGAGAAAGAGGGAAGGTTGGCCACAGCAATGCGTGGCGGGTAAAGGTTGTTATTTCTATGATTATTATGATGCTATTATTCCTATGAGACCCTTTTAGGGGGAATGGGAGAGGTGTCAGGTCCCAGAGGCAATGCATTGCATTATTGTTATTGTTATGATGGTGGTGAAATAAAAGGAAATAAAAAGAGAAAGAAGGAAGCAAACAGGGGGGAAGAAAGGCAAAGGAAGAAAGGGGGAGGGAATGAAGGAAAGAGAGAAGGATGAAACCAAGTAGGGAAAGAAGGAAAGAAAGAAAGAGGTAGAGAAGGAAGAAAGGAGAGAAAGGGGGAGGAAAGGGGGAAGGAATAGGTAGGTACCTCTCTTTCATAATAGTCCAGATATCTACCTCAACTTTGATAAGTTTTACTATAGGCCACAGCAACGCGTGGCAGGGCACAGCTAGTTTCATTATAAAAGTGGTGGGGTTTTTTGTATACTCATAGTGCTAAACCAATATAAAGCTATGCCACTGTAGTATTACAATTCTAAAAAGAAGTGGGGGTGAGGGATTAAATCTGGTAACCAGGAATGAGACAAAGGAACAGCGGGAAATCTCCATCACAATGGTTATACCTCCATTAAAATGTCATTTAGAAGGCTTTTTCAAGTATAAAGCAGAAGAAACTGAGACATTGGATACATATACCTTGTTTTTACTCCAGCCTATATTGGGATCGCCTCTTGAAATGGATATAAGCCGCTATGACTAGTAATAGAATTTCAGGGAGGAAGGGAAACAGGACAGGAAGAACATCACTAAGAAATTACCCAGTAAGTATAGCTCCAGCTCAAATCAATCTCAAGGTGATTGTCCAGTCTGGAGAAACTTATCACCAATGTGCTTTTTATTAATTAAGAGAAATTTCAACTCTGTTAAATGATATGGCCTAATACTATAAAGGCACAAAATCCTGCCTGCTCTTAAAAGCTAAACAGGGTTAGGTCTGATTCATACCTGAATTATGAACCACCAAGGAATATCAGTTGCCAATAGTTAAATTCCAGGTGAATGCAAAAGGAAACCATCTCCTAGTATTCCCTTCTCAAAAAGAAAAAAAATCCAGTCACCATGTCAATAGGCAATTTGGAGGTGCATACACGTACAGATAAAAAGTCTATATCTGTGTTTTCCACTAGAAACAATGGATATCATGGTATGCTAGTGATCTAAATTGTGGTCAATATACACTTTATGTATGTTTAATGGAACTGTCATAGAACAAGACTTTTTAAAAAAATGAGTCTTCAGTATGTCACACTATCTTGATACAAAGAACGTACACGCCTGAGGATCAATTTTTAGATAGCAGATCTTCAAAGAGACTTACCTGCATGGGTTTTATTGTACTTAATTATAAAATTCAGGTCTTCCAGTGCTAGAAGAGTTTCGTTTTGGTAAAGGAAAATTAAATGCCTGTGCCAATAAGCATCAACCAATGATGGTTCTAAATTTATTGCCTGCAAAAGCAATGAAACAAACAAAAAAAGAGCATGACGGCTAGTTGTACATTCTAATGAAACAGAGTTACCTTAGGCTTTCATTTGGGGATGCATTATTTCACTTATAAATGACTTGCTTAATCTAAACTCAGATTCTAACTCTACCAAATCAACTGCACAGCTGTTTAAAACGATATATAGTTACGTTGAATAGGTTATTCATCCCCCTAAGGGTGAGAAAAGCGGTATAGAAATACTGTAAATAAATAAATAAATATTTCTATGTACAGCAAATTCTTTGTAGCCCCATCACAAAATTCGGGTATATGTAATTTAACTATTTAGCAGACAAAATCACTAATAACACATATCTTTCAGATTTTTTTCATTCTAATGCTTTCATTTGTTTTGGAATCTATGAACATAAAAAATATAACCTGACCCCCCCCCCCCTTTAGCAATCTGTCCATGTACTGGGATCATCCACAAATGCCCTTTTCTAGTTGACTCTGCCATTAGATACAATGGACAACCAGAGAGTGTTTTGAGCTATGGCAGCTCAATAGTAGAATTTCTTTCCTGAGAAGGACATGACCGAGACTGTGTCAATTATCATATGATTAACAGCTAAAAATCTAATTGTTTACTTAGCTTTTTAGAGAAGTCATTGGTTTTATCTGACATTTATAAATCACCAAAATATATATATATATAAAAAGCATTAAAAATAAACCACTCAAGACACAAAAAGACAGAGATAAAATTTCAATTAAAAATAAAATTAGAGGACAGTACTAAAATCAGAGAGAAACATGAAACTTCTATTCTTATGATATGATCTTGATATTTTCTAAATTACAAATTATTCCATAGTGTGGAATAATAGTAATTAAAGTGGGATCAAACTGCTATAATTGTATAGTGTGAAAACTCACAAATTTTAAAAGTAGCACATATTGATGACTAAAAACTCACAGCCACTTGTTAAAAGTTATCTTGCATTATAAGCTTTTTAATATAAGACTTTATTCATGTGCTCTTGCTAACATCCCTTTAGTATAGGTGCATAGGGGGTCCTTGATATCCACTGGGACTAGGTTCCAGAACCTCTACGGATAGTCTTTGAATACTCAAGCCCCATATATACAATGCCAAAATAACATGGTGTATCTTATATAAAATGAAGAAAAAAATCAAAGTTTGCTTTTTGGATTTTAAAAAAGGTTTCTGAAACCATGGATGATGGAATCCATGTATGGAAATCTATAGCAGTGATCAGCTATATACCATAAATTTCCAAAGGTCCTCAGATCCTTAGCTCTGTATCAATATGTTATCCAAGTGCGTGTATATCCATACAGTTATTAGATGTGTCATTATTATTTGCTTAATCAGTGTCCTTTATAAATTGTTGGATCACAAGACCCAGTAGCCCAAGTCAATATAGCCAATGATGAGGAGTGCTGAGAGCTGCAGCCCAAGTGGAAGTCAAAGATTACTTGATTTTCACTCCTGTTCTACATGAAGGTTCCAGATACCTACTTACGATGCATGCCTTCTCTTCTCCTCTCCCAACATAAGACTTTAGCAACTGTTAGGGTGAACACAGCAGTGCATAAAATAATGTACCCTACAATGGCGTTATATGAAAGAAATACATATTCTTTTTGAACCTATTTGACACACTTAAGAAGTCATAGCTATTCAAAGTTATAAAAAAAGGCATTCGTAGCTAGCAAAATCAGTTAATATTTCTTTTTCACTAACTTTTTCTAAGTCATCCATAGCTGCCTGCAATTTGCCTTGTTTCCTATAGATTGCTCCACGCCTACAATAGTTGAATGCAGAAGAAAATCCTTCATTTATCTCTCGGGTTAGTCGATCAATTTCAGATTGACACCTATCATTTTCATCTGTTTCCCCTCCTAACAGAAGAGGATTCACTGTGTCAGATAGTTCTTTTTCCTTTATTTCATCTTCCTTTTTGCTTGATGACTCCCCATCTTCAATAAATGATGGACTGGGAGGGTACAATTCATCAAACCACTTATTCCAGATTAGTTTGTACCAATTATATTCATCAACGTCTTTGGGTGTTCTGCCTTTCTCTTTTGCAAATTTCTCATAATCTAAGTAACAAGGCAGACTTGGACTTCGATAAAGGCGAACTACTCGGGACACTTTGATACTATATTTTTCATGTGCATGAAGCTTCCCAAGAGATGCAGACCTGAACAGAGGAAAGTAAAGCAAAATTCTAGTCAATATGCTCATCACTGATATAGTGAAATAAGAACAAACTGTTGGAATATATAATTTGAAAGATGTTATTCAATATAATATTTAATAATATACTGTAATCATTACACTAAACTGTAAGAACACATTGCTGAAATAATTTAATAATATGCTCTGTTTTGGTAGATAACACTCAAATTTTGGCCCATATCAGAAAATGTCAACCAGAGGTAATCCTGTGTACATTTTGAAAACTCCAAAAAGAAATGTATATCTTAACTCAAAGTAGCAACTTCAAATTAAGATGGCCCAATATATTTTATAGACAGAAAATCTAGATAGGACAATCCTTTCCTTTTTCTTGTCTTACAACACTGATGGTGAACCTTTTAGAAGCCAAGTGTGGGGGGGGGGGGGCACTTGGGGGTACTGGGGTGAACTCAGGTGAGTGAGCGGGGAAATGAATGGGGGTGGGTGAGCAGGCAAGCAGTGAGAGGATGGGAAAGTGGGCAAGCAAGTGGGCAAGCAAGCAAGGGCAGGTGAGCAAACAAGTGGGCAAGGGGGGCTGAGCTGTGTGGGGGCAAGTGAGCAAGGTAACGGCGAGCAAGCAAGAGATGAGCAAGTGAGTGGGGTAGGTGGGAAAGCAAGCCAGCAAAAAGGGCCCAGATTGCCCCTTCTGGCACATGTGTGATAGACTCGCCACCACTGCACTAGGGCAATTCAGTGCTACAAAAGGTAGCATATACTACTCATATATAAAGGACCCAGATATGCAAAACTGGACCAATTTAGGTGCATACAGAATGCCTTCTGGGGTTTCAGTAAAATGCACCAGCTCTACTCTCTCGTGCACCTCTTTTTCAGGCAATGCACTTTAATTCATTTTCCCCATCACTATAACTATTTCATACTATGGTGCTGAACCATAAATAACTAACCGTTTGGGTTAGTAGCACACTAAACTCAGCATCAGATTTTTGCTTGATAGCACATTTAGCCTATGGTGAGGAATATGACACCATTAAGCTGGCAACTCATTATCAATTTCCTGTTACAAGCACTCCTGCAGCACCTTCTGTTGGAAGGGAAACAGCATTGATTGCTGTATAGCAACTCATTTATGCAGTACTACTCAATCAGGAGTATGCAATGTTTCTTTGGGATATGAGTATGGATAGACCAATATAGCTTTTCTCCTACATCCCACCAGTGGAGCCAATATGTTATTAGGAACCTGGAAAGTGGCCATCTCTATTGTGGCACCCCAGTTATGGAATGTCCTCCCTCAGGAACACACAGTTGATGCTGACTATGATGCTATTTCAGTCCAAATTCAAAGCAGAGGTTTTCATTACAGCATTCAGGGACTAACTGGTTTTATCCATATCTGCAAATATGCATGGATTCCATTCTTTTCAATGGTTTGAACTGGTTTTAAATAGTTTTACATAATAAATATTTTAATACTTTCTTATTGTACTCAAGTGTTTTAAATTGATTTTAGTCTATGCTGCCTAGAGAATCTTCCCAAATAGTAGATTAATATATCAATGAGTAAATAAATAAAACAATAAACATGTGAAAATGAACAGGAGAACAATACTTCTTTAAGGAGGAGGCTGGAATGTCAGCTCACACCAGTCATAGTAAGAGATGTTGATCGTTTTTTTCATGATTGATTTTTAAAAAATGATATATAAAATTGATTCATTTCTCCACCCAGGCCTCTTAGTTTTAATTGGGGTTATCAGTATTCCAGCTGGCCTACTTCAGGAGACCAATTCTGGTGCCTCTCAAATAATTAGATGTGAGTTGTTTTCCAAACATTATCTTAGAAGTTTACAAATGACAGACACATTGCCATGGCAAATCTGTATCTGTGATCCTTTCCAAGGCTGGTGATAGAGAGAAAAACCATACCCATTTATAACCACTCTAGGCAAGAAATCACCAACTTCAGAGTGCTCTGCCTGAGGACTGAAATGGACTCTATAGAAAAATATTAAAATTATAACATTCTTCAAATGTTAATAATATTGCAACCTTTTAAGACTTCTTGGGGATTCATTTAATTTCTCACGTATATTTTCCAATACATGAGGAGAAACACGTTTCCCTGATTTCTTCCTTCCTTGTGTTTTCTTTGGATAAATAATATATGTGAGCCCAGCTTTTCGTGATGCTTCAGCAAGAGAAATGTCATCCGGAGCCTGGGAAGGTTGGGAAGGCGCTTCAGGCTCTGGGGTGGAGGGGAAAAGACTTTTTCTTGATCTTTTCGTTAGTTTTCTGGAAGATGAATCAAACCCTTGATCTGTAGTAGGAAAAATATCTGTAAGATCATGGAGATCCTCATCAATAGAAGTAGGAAGGCTCTGCTGAAGTTTTTCTGGAGATACTTTAACTTCTGGAGTCGAAACACGAATATCTGTTGAAGAAATATGTTTCTTCATAACATTTATCTGTTCCATAGTGGTTTTGAAATCTGCAGAAATTTTGAAATCTGTTGTGCCTCTGTATAATGACAATTCTGGTGAACTATTTGATCTTTTAAATGGCTCTATCTGCAAGAAAATTAAATTACAATTAATTTAGTATTTTTGTTGAAATATCTGAAGCAGCAATCAATCAATTAATCAAACTATACATCAAATGCAGGTGCATGTTAATATATTTAAATGAAAAATGATGTTTTCATATTAAAATAAATTAAGGAACATCCTTGATCTAAAATTTCATATGCACATCTGAGCCAGGTCCAATTGCTAGATAAGCGTATGGTTTCCCAGTCTTTTTCAGAGTTACACAGATGGATTACCATGAAATCATCCCCATTAATAAAAGTCAGAAGAGACTACCATAATTTATTCTTTAAAACCAAGAACCATAGATTGCATGCCAATATAAAAAAATCTTAAGACATGAAAAGTACGATGTTTGGTAAAGATGTTCTCTTCACAGAACAATAAAGATGTTCTGTTCGCAGAAATGTTTTTACCAGCAGGAGAGGACAATTGTACGACCTCCTTTCCAAATCAATATAAGAAGTTTGTTTCCAAAAGGTACCAAATCACCCCTAAAAGTTGAAAAGTGAGTTATAGATGGCAGTACATAGTTTGCTAGTAGATACATTTTGATAATTTTGATGTACAGATCAAAATTATCAAAATGTATCAAATCACTTTGGTACAGGACTTGGAAAACATTTTATAGCAAAAGAATGCATATACTCAGTACATTTTTCAATTCCTATAAAATTTGTTCAGATGGATTTGGTACCTTATGGAAACAAGCCCCACATATATGTTCCAGATTATGGAGAATCTCCAAAGCAGAATGGAAAACTAGCAGAGAGACCAGACCAAAAATATATATCTTGTACAATTTCATCCTTTATATAGAAGAAAAATAGACTAGTTTAATTTCCAAATGTGTCTATTCAGATTTAGATTTAAAAAGCCTTTGGGGAAACATACTTGAATTTCTCTAATTAACCATGTTGTGAATCTAAGCAAAACTAATACACATCGTTTTTAAATTCCACCTGTTTCAATGTATTCTTAACTCAGGCTAAATAATGCTACTGTTAATACACAATGTTAACATCATCTGATGATTTCGCTTACCCAGGATCTGTGAATCTGTATTTTAAGGAAGAATTGATATAATGGCTAAAATTCTGAATTATATGTTTATGAATCCAAGTATTAGTCTAAATTACTTCAAAGCATTCCCATAAAAAATCTAACAGCAAACTCAAAAAAGAGGAAGTGTTATCCTTTATTCCTGGTAAGCATACTTGAGAGTCAATGTGGGGTAGTGGTTCGAGTGTTGGACACTAAGGAGACCAGAGTTCAAATCCCTACACAGCCATGGAAATCCACTGGATGGCCCTGGGCAAGTCATGCCCTCTTGACCACAGAGGAAAGCAAGGGCAAATCTCCTGTGAGCAAATTCTGCCAAGATGACCCCATGAGAGGCTTGCCAATGATTTGCCATATATGAGGAATGACTTGAAGGCACACATGAGTAATACTTGTGTTTTCAAGTCTCAAAATACATATTCTGACTTCATATATCCATATCAGGCAGCCCTTTATAGTTAAAATGAACATATTCCTACTTTCTTTTTTTCTTGCTATGTGTAAATCAGTCAGTGTCGCAGATGGATGATGAAAGCGACAGCTCCCCTGGCGGGCAGAAAAAGTTAAATAGCCTCTAACTGTTTGTCTATATCTGTTGTGTGTCGATAGCATCGAATATTTGCCATATATGTGTACATTGGAATCCACCCTGAGTCCCCTGCGGGATGAGAAGGGCGGAATATAATACTGTAAATAAATAAATAGTAAACTGTGAAGTGGTGAACAAAGAAGATGTTATTAGCAAATATAGTCATTCAGAATTCTGGTAATAATAGCATCTAATTAGTGTAAATCAGTCATAGGCAAACTTTGGCCCGCCAGGTGTTTTGGACTTCAACACTCACTATTTCTAACAGCCGATATGCTGCCTGTGATTTCTGGGAATTGACGTCCAAAACCTCTGGAAGGGTGAAGTTTGCCCATGCCTGGTGTAAATGCTATAGAACAGCGGGTCTAATTCAATCTAATTCAGTCCAACTTTGCTTTGAGTTCATATTTTCAATATTGTCAAACAGTGCAATGTTATGTAAGCAAACTCAGAGTTCTCAATTAACATCTTCAGCATTACTTTATTAACAAAAAAGATACCTGAGGCAGAAACAACATGGAAAGAGGAGAAAAAGTGTTTCAATCACAAAGAAATAACATGTAAAGAGAAATGATAGGTTCTTATATCACCAAAGGAAAAAAAAATCAATTGAACATATTACAGCAAACCTTTTACTTAGAACTAACAATATGCACCTGTGAAAAGAAACACCAGGCTTAGGTATGTCTTACATAAGTCAACAAAACAGAGAGAACTTCCTAGAGACCAACTGAAAGTGCCTTTCAAAATGTACATAGGAAT